ATTTAAAAATGGCGGCGCCCAGCTTATACAAATGAAGCCCGGGAAATTCAAATCCCGGGCTTCATTTGAAAGTGTGGTATGCCTACATTACCCTCCTAGTTCGAATTAGGAGGGTAGTGTAGACATACCCAAAGAGAGTTTGTGTTCATGAAAATATGTGTATTTTATGTTACATCAGGAAGAGGATTAGGGAGGGGTAAGTGGAAGGACGTGAGGGAGGAATGAGGCACAAGCCCCCAGTGGGTCAGACCAGGGAGGCTCTTAGTGCTCTTCAGGGTGGAAGCTCTCCCACAGGGCCTCCTGGATGCTGACAGCCCCCCGATGGACCTCCCGGATGTCAGCCTGCAGAAAGTTTAGCCAGGCTCACAGCAACGCATCCAAGAGAAGCACCAGAGTGCCCAGGGACAGCTCCGGCTCCATGTTGCAGAGTGCTGTGGTGTCCCGAGTGAAGGCAACCAGAGCACACAGAGACAAAATAAACTCTGGGCTTCTGATTCAGTGAATATGAAAATGTATTGGGCTGAGAATTAACTATTGACTTACACAATGCAGAGGTCAATTTTTAGCTCTTGCTCTAAATCTTCATATGCACTGAACCAAGAAATCAATGCGTGTCTCATTCAAATATGTTATAACCATTTTTAAAGACTGGCTGCAATTCTATATCGCTGAACGAGCTGGCAGTAAAAATTGTTTTTCAGGTTCCATTAGCCTTTTGAGGTTAGAGGGCTAGGAAAGCTTTTATTCAACTTGGCCTTGAGTCTGTCATACTTATTCATACTGGTCACAGGGTATGTTATGCCATGAGCCATTCAATAGACTTCAGTAGGTCTAGTCTCAGAATAAGGAGCTACTTAATATAAGTAAGGATAGCGAAATGGAAAATGTGATTTTTTTTTTTGGTTAACATTATTCCAAGGAGCAATATTATTGACCTTCAAAGAAAAATGGGAACGTAATGCCAGATTTTTTAAAGAGCTCAGTGACTACTTAGGTAGATAAATAAGGGCCAGTTTTAAAGAGCAGAGAACAATGGGTACTATTGGGACTGTGTGCTTGAAAACTTGGCCTTGAGTGACTCATCAGACGCAGAAATTTTCTGCCAAATGAGACAATATTTTCTAGTATATAATATGAATTACATGGTTAGTGATGTTTCCTGAGGACTATTTAGCTTTTCACTCTGAGTTCATTGGCTATTGGCTCTATATTGCCCGGCAACCAAAATGATTAGGGGCTGGAGCACATGACCTACGAGGAGAGGCTGAGGGATTGGGCTTATTTAGTCTGCAGAAAAGAAGAGTGAGGGGGGATTTGATAACAGCCTTCAACTTCCTGAAGGGAGGTTCCAAAGAGGATGGAGAGAGGCTGTTCTCAGTGGTGACAGATGGCAGAACAAGGTGCAATGGTCTCAAGTTACAGTGCAGGAGGTCTAAGTTGGATATTAGGAAAAATTATTTCACTAGCAGGGTGATGAAGTACTGGAATGGGTTACCTAGGGAGGTGGTGGAATCTCCATCCCTAGAGGTGTTTAAGTCCTGTCTTGACAAAGTCCTGGCTGGGATGATTTAGTTAGGGTTGGTCCTCCTTTGGTCCTCCTGAGGTCTCTTCCAGCCTTAGGATTCTATGATTCTATATTGCTCTAAATAAGGGTCTGCTACTCAGGAGCATCATACAAGTGCGTGAGGTTATAAACTATATGAAATGAACTCCATGGATATGACTGGGTGACTTAAGGACAGAAAGCCATATTCTACCACCCTTCCTAAAGCTTTGAGTAAAATGTTATTCCATAAGTACTCCCATTAAAGATGAAGGTGAAGTCCATGGGACTCTTTCATGTATCCCTTTCCTCTTGTTGTTTCTATCTGCCTTCTGCTTCTCTATACAGTACATTGGTTAGTGGAAAGATTGCAAGAAAGAGGAAATGCTTATGGGCAAATGCAAGAATTACGAAGTGAAACCTTGAAGGCTTCATTGAAGTCAATGGCAAAACTCTTGTTGACTTCAATGAGCCAGGATTTTACTGTATGCCTTTAAATAGGTCTATCCTTTACAAATACTGAACCACACATGAAACAAATATTACCTTTGGGTTGAGTCCGGTCAGAGAACATGCCATCCCTAAAGGAATTGATTTGAGAAAGTTGCAAGTGACTGAAGCAGGTGTGTGTGTGTGGGGGGGGGGATACACCACTAAGTACAGTACTCATTACCAATGTATTATCAATCAAATCCTATTCTTACCATTCAAATGGATATGAAGGACCAAATTCACCCCCTCGCAGTGGTACATTCCTTTCCCACTGAAGCCAACAGAGAGTGACCCAAGTGTACGTTTGAACAAGATTAAATTACGTGGCTGGATTGAATTTCCTGTTCCAAATTATATTTGGGAGTGGTCAATTTGAAAAAGCTTTGTGTAACAGACTGTGTCTTAATTGTGAGACTGTATTTCACCAATTTAAGACTTACCTTTCAATGCTGCTTTGGTCTCTGTGAATTCTTTCACCGTTGACCCTCACTAGTGATAATAGAGCTATTTTGTCTTGTCCTCTTTCAGCCCATTTTTTGCTACTTGTAATGAAATCATACTTGCTCCCGTCATCCCTATTTTGCGGAACTCATCTGTGCCTGAGATTTTCATTCTACTCATTCAAAAAGACAAACAAAGAGAAAGTGCCGCAAAGGCAATTGGTAAACATACATTTATTGTATTTTGTCTTATCTGAGATTTTCTTTCAGGGGAGGGTGTGTGTGTTAAATAGGGCCTGATTCTTTGATAACAGAAAGTGTTGAGTAACCCCAGCAGAATGCTGGGGTGGCATCAAATCCCACTGAATTTAATTTGACCCCTTTCAGGATCGATCCCACAAAGAACAATTGTGAATAATTGCAAAATATATTTTAAAGAGGACAAAATCAAAACATTTCCACCAGTGTCTTTTATTAAGTAATGCAAAATACAGTACTAATTATGACACTTCATGCATCTTAGACAATATAAATGCAAGCCTACAGAAAATATGTGATCAAGAAACCCTCAATTACTTTGAGGTAGTATACAAGGGAAAGTAGGAAAGCAGAAACACAATGGAGTAAAAGAACAAAATATTTGTATCACTTTGTGTGTACATTTTTCACTCATAAATACATTTGTATGAAAGAACTTAGGGTTCATTTCGGTTCTCATTTAAAAATATACTTCTTTAAATTCACCATTCTCATACCTTTCAGATTCACATGACACAGAGTTGATGGTATCTTACTGAGGGGGTTTGATTTTTGTCATCACAATGATGATTTTACCCTCTTCCTCCAAGAGTTCAGGCACTGATGGCCTCATGCACAAAAATAAATAAGAAACCTGCTTGAAGGAAAAAGGTTGCTGCTCAAATAGCTCAGATTAAGGATAATCTAATAAATACCATTTCGTTTATAAAAATATTTCAGGTTTATAAAAGGGGGGAAAGGGTGGTCTTCCAGATGGAAAGAATGTTGTGTGAAAAATGCTGTGTAATGGTTTTGTACAGATTGTTGTTTTAAACATACAGTACTGTTATGAATATATAATAATCCTGTTTCTTAGAACCCTGTTGTTCAAAAGAACTAACAAATGTTGTTATTTTTTCTTATTGCAGTTTTGGAAAATATCTAATTTAGAAGGGTTCCATATAATTGTGCTTTTGTAAGACTGTCCTTCCGACTTAGACCAGTACTCCCAGTCCGTTGAAACTGCTGTTGTTTGCTGTGAAGACCTGAATGGTTCCCTTGCTCCATGGAAGACTGATGGATCTCTGAAGCCTCCACTGAACTCTGGTTGAGGGATTCGGCTGAGCTGTTTGGGCTTACATCAACGTATTCTCTTTTCAACACTGGGCTACTCTCAATATTTTTGCTACTGCACAACTGCATTGTGATCCTGTCATTTTTTTGGTCTCGTGGTTCTTTTGTTTTGTAAGAGGGCAATTTGTCCTGTTTACAGCTCGTGCTGATGTCAATGTTCAGGCCACTATCTGTTCTGAGGAAGCAAGAATCCACAAGTCTACTTTGACAGATATCTTCTCCCTCTGAAAAGCTGTCTCCTTTGTAAGCAGCATAGATGGGGCTTGTTCGGCTCTCTGCTTTTTTTATAGGGCTGCTGTAATACTGCTCTGAAAAGCTACAGGGTGATAGTCTGCCAGTGTTCCTGTAAGAATATGCACCGATGTCCTCTACACTCAGCTGCCTCCACCGCCCTGGTAAGTCTTCTTCTGAAAGATGGGTGCTCCTGCAGTCATTACGCATTTTCTGAGTGGCCAATGCCTGTTGTGTTGTTATGGCTGAGAAATGAAAAGGCTCATTCGCATAAGGTGGCAGAGTCCTAGTAAAAGTGGGCGAGTTCTCATTGTTGTCAGCAAGTTCCATTTGCTGCACGGATTTTGACTTGGCAAACCTTGGACTTCCCTGATGATCATAACTAGAACATGACTTTCTTTCAAACATTTCATCTCTGCTGCTCAGGTAGATTGCTTGCTGGGAGGCTGTCAGAGTGCTGGCCTGGGCGTTTTCTTTTTCCTCAGATGTGACACTGAAACTAGAGTAGGAGCTAGAGGTTGGTAAAGAGGTAACATATTCTTGGAAGGCTTCATGAGAGAAGCTAGAATGGAAGCCATCTTCTTCTACAGTACTGTCAGTAGAGTTCTGGGACCTCAAAAACCCAACATCTTTCACCTGCATGTCAACACTTTGTCTCCTTTCCCTTCTCCTCTCCTCAGGGCAATAAAGGGCGGTGTCACTGCAGTAGATGTCAGACTTGTACTGGGGCCTTTGGCCAAGCTTCCCATCAGAGTCCTGAAAAGAGCGATCCCTTGCTGACGTGCTTGACAGATGTGAAGACAAGCTGGTTGGGTCTGGTTTCTCCAGTACCTTAGCGATGACGCAAGTTGGTATATTATCGGCAAATGATGTGTGACACAAAGGGACAGAAAGGCTGCACCCGTGCTTTTCCAGATGGAGGCTGACTCTCTCCTGAAAGTCAGATGGCAACTGTAACATAGAGAGGTGGAAGGGAGAAGGAAAATAGGAAGAAGGTTATTAATGCTGTCTAGCTATGCTGATGGAACAAAGATGAATGAGTGGACTACTGATATTATTTATTTCAGTGTACACAAAGTGTTCATCATTGCAGCCCAATTGATGTCAATGAGCTGTGCCAATTTACACCAACTGAGAATCTAGCCCTTGGATTCTTGACTCCCACACACTGATCCTTTTGAGATTCACTCTTCACTGTTACTGTACATTTTTACAACTATGACAAAATACCAGACATCAAGTTCTTTTTCAGATATACAGTAGCTACTTGTGAAAGCTTACTGAGTGCATTATATTACTAAATAAGATTATTACTAAATAAATAGCTGTACTTCTTACAGCAATATAAGGAGCAGTCCCAGATTAACTCTTTTCTAGGGGGTCCTGGGCTAGAAGATTTTGTAGGGGCCTCTAGGCTCTGGGATGGGACCAAAAATGAGGGGTTCAGTATGTGGGAGGGGGCCCAACCCTATATACTGTAAGGGAGGGTAGGTGCAGGAGCAGGCTACAGGTGGAAGGGGGGGGGAGTCTGGGCATGAGGTATGGTGGAGGAGTTGGCTGGGGGTAGAGGGAGCAGTCTGGCAGGGAGGGAGGATACAGGGCCTTGGGGTGCTTACCTGGCACACCTGCCATTTGGAAATGCATGCGACTCCAACCAAGGAAAGGAGGGGGAATGGCAGAGTGCTAAGCTGGCCAGAAATGTAGCACACAGGGACTTCAGTGGCTGCATTCCAGGGTCTCGGGCTAAGGTGTCCTCCTCCTTAGCCCAGAGCCCTGGGCTACAGCCCCTAAAGCCCCTTTCGTAATCCAACCCTGACAAAGGTTCCTTCAAGTATTGAAGTGAGCATCCCTATTACTCTAATGAGCACTGTGCAGAAGGATTTCACATTGCATGACATATGGTTCCTCATTTCCCAGCTTCTCTTGAGAGTTTTTATACCTGGCGTAACCCAAAGACCTGTAGGCATTCAAAATATGACCTGACGTGAAATGGCAAGCTTGTTAGTTGGGTGTAAGATGACAGTTCCTTTTCATCTGTACTTCTTCCATCATATTTTAAGTTAATTCACGTTTTTAATTGAATCCATATATCCTCTGTTTGCAACAAGATATGTAATATTTCTGATACACTGGCAGATAGAAATATTAGTAATTGTAACTACAGATGCAACAAAGATTGAAAGAACAAGTGGTAAAACAAGACCAAGTAAATCACCATAAAGGTGTGGTTACTATTGCAAAAGAAACAGATTGTTTAGCGTGAAACTACCATGCTGGACAGGTGCCATTTTTGTTAGAACATACTGAAATATTTACTCTACTGTTTGATCTATTTTGTGCCTGATTTATACTATGAAGTATTTTAAGGAAAGAACTATTGACCTCTTTTGGGCTATCACATACTAGGAGGTGGCGTGACTAAAATGGTATTGTATTCATGGTATGCCATGCCACAGCTCACATTCTTGTGTAATCTAAAATTGCTTGTTCGTGGATTTGTCAAGCTATTCAGTGATTTGCAACACATCCTCATGTTTCTCTTTTATTGAGATAATTGCTCTTCACAATGTACTCAGAGTTGCTGAGTAAAAATGCTCGCACTGAGAAATGGAGCATTTGCCTCTTCTGCTGAATGGACGACAGTTTTGGAAATTGGGGGAGGGGGGCGAACCCCAAACAAACAGAAACTCAACTGACCAACCAACCGAGCCCCACCACCATCCTGGATATTTTTCAGTAAGTGGAATACTGAATATATTTAGGAGCCAATCCTGGGAATACTTGGCACTGTGTTCAAGGCTTACATTATTGCTTTCAGGTGCAATCATTTGCAGGATGAGGACATTAGATAATTTGGAAGCTTTTTTCCAGTAAATCACCGTCCTTATTGACCAGACAATTTCATTTACTAGATGTATTTGGGATCTCACAGCATTACACTGATGTTGCACTAGTCAGTATATCTAACATTTAGTTTTCTGCTAGTCTGTCATAGAACTGCATATATGAGGCTATCTGAAAGCACTGTGCTAACGAAACTGCTGGAAAAAGTTGGTGTCTTATTAGTAATGACCTCTGCCATACAAACACACATGGTGGAGGTACTGCTCAGTGTAAGACAGTCCCAAAAGTTAGAAAAGATCAATCTCTTGCATTGAGATACCCATCTATATGGGCTGAAGAATGAGAATAGACCTGCAAGTGCCTGATCCAGCTCCTGTTAAATCCCACTGATCTCAGTGACAATAAGACCCAGCCAAAAGTATCTCAGAGATATGAGATGATTTAAAAGCCTGAGGTGAAGCTCCATCCTTACTGACATCAGTGACAGTCTCATTGACTTTAGTGAGTAAAAGCAGGATTTACCCTAAGGTTGTGGATGCATGGCTAAAAGTTCATGGTTCCCCTCATTTTTGTACCATGCCATGACATAAATACAGCCCTAGTCATGATTATTTTTAACCATTTGTTTCCATTTGAAAGTGTCAGTTTCTCAAACTTTACACTCTGGAAATCAAAGAAGGTTTTCTGGTTGCCTTAGAAAAAGATGTTCTCTCCTGTTATCTTGTTTTTAAAATTGATGTTTGTAGTGTAGTTGCATGTACTGGGAAATAGCTTCAGAGGGAATCTTGATCCCCAAAAGACTCCTTGCAGCCTGCAGGATCTTTGTTTCTTTTTATCTGTTTACATTTTAGTGGCCAGAGCTTTCTTAGTGCTTTGATTAGGCTAAATTTTTCCTTTTGTACAAGATTGATGCAGGCCCATTCCCGAGCTTTCAAAAATGAAACTCTTATTCAAGTTTCACCTGAAGCTGAGATTTGGTTAATAATTCCTGCAGCTGCAGTGATATTGGAATAATTTTTATAGTGCAGCTGCTGAAAGCCATTGAAAAAAATGGTAAGCCCTGTACATAATTGAAATCACATCAAAGCCTGGGCATGCTGCCACACCCTTGGCATCTTTAGACCTGTGCTCAGCTGTACAGAAAATCAACAGGTACATCCAGCCCTTTCTGTTTCTTAAAGAAGAGAGAGAGACAAAAAGCAGAGCTTTAAAGGCAAACAGGCGTGGGGGTTGATCATGCAGAATATTCTATTTTCCAAGAAACATTATTTCTTTGTATATTCAGTAAGTTTGATCACATTACCTCAGAAAGCTTATGTGCCCTGTCGTAATTCTTGCTGCACTGGAGCAGCTGAGCAGCTAAATTGCAGTCCTTTCTATAGAGCTCCTAAAAAACAAACAAACAAAAAAGCCTGATTTTTATGGCTTGCATCTAACCTAAGGTTTTGTTTCTTGCTCCTATTTCTGGGTAAATTGTGTCTGTTTTACTCTGGGAAGCTACAGAGATCATTTTATTTTTTATATTCATTAGGTTTCTGTTTTTCTTACTTGCTCCTGAAAAGATGCTCAGCTGGTTATCAAAGGAAAGGTCATGGAGAAAAGGGGATCAGAAAGAGAAATTTGAAACAGTTTTACTTTAAAAACATCGGTCTGCAACTGAGACTATTGGGTGAATACTTACCATTGGGAACTCAGCATTACATAATAAGCATGCTTGAGAGATTGAGTACTGTAATAAAGGTGAACTATACAGTGAAAAGGACATTTGATTTAAGAATAAATATTCTGTCTTGAATATCCCCAAACCACTTGGATTCCACTTTAGAGATATCTGAAACAGTCTCATCTGTTTGTAGGGGGAAATTCATTATAGAAATTTAGTTTTAGCTTGTTTTTTAATTTTTTTATTTCTTTCTTTCCAGTATTTCCCTTAGTGCCTCCTGGTTCAATAACAAATATGCCAGAATGCCTCATTTGGTGACATCAAATATTATGACTTGCAATGAGACTTATGATATTTGCAATTTAATTACATTCTGTACTACATTTAATGAATCAGGAAGTAGCAAGAAGATTTCACACAGAGGAAAAATAAATAAATAGGTTAGTTATATCATTCTGTGCTGATTGGCTCCTGCAACCTGTCTAGTGTGGGAATCCGGAACAGAAATCTGTGCTTAACTCTATATTCAGTCTTGCTTTGTACTGTTGTAGTGCACATGACTGTCTTCTGATGTAGCACTTATAGATATGTCTACAGTCTCTGTAAAGGTGCTATTACAGGCAAAGCTTATTTTTGGAAGTAAGATCTATACTTATTTAAAGATATGGCACAGAAATGATAAAACCCCTCTAGACACTTGTAAAACTTGTGAACATTTTATAACGTTTATCGAGAAAACATGTTTATGATTAAAATAGTTTCTTTTTTCCTGGGTGCTAATTGTGTAATTCACTTTCACACAGACTTCTCCATTCTATTTATTCTCTCAGCTCTGGTCTACACTATTATTATTTCAAAATAACCCTCCCAAGATTGAATTTTTAAGCAGAGCATCCATACTGCCAAGAATGTTGTTTTAATCCCAAGATTGAATTTTTAAGCAGAGCATCCATACTACCAAGACTGTTGTCTTAAAATAAGGGGCCACGGAATTCAAAATCTGTACTGCTTTCATCAGGAGTAATGCTAATTCTGGAAATAGTTATTTTGAAATAATACCGTGGATGTTCCAGTGCCACTATTCAAAATAATTACCCCCAGAGTAATTCAAAATAATTACTCCCAAGTGCTTCCTGGGGCTCTAAGTCCGAAGTAGCGTGTCTACATTAATGTTGCCTGCCTCGGACTAATTTTGATGCTTCCCCGTAGTGAAGACATGCTAATTTGAATTTGTTAAATCGGGGGTTCTTAAGTCGAATTTAGTAATTTTGAAATAGTTTCCTAGTGTAAACATGGCCTTGAAAAACAACATGTACATTTTATGTGAAAAGAACAAGGGGGAAAGTCTTTTTTCTGAATACCTCTTTTGAAGTATAACTATGAGAAGTTCCTGGGATCAGCTTGCTATGAATGTGAAAAAAACAGAAATAGATTTTCTTTGGTCCTGTTGGATTTACATCTGTAGAGTCAACTGCTCTCAAACAATGTTGGCAAACTATGATGTTTTATTTTAGTTTATTTTGCTTACTATATACTTCTCATTCTGTCTCAAATATAAAGAGTAAAAAAAGGAAATAACTGTTACCAGGTAATTCTGTTTTTAATTTTATATTATTGAATAAGCCTTCCTCTGAAAAACAGATGCAAACAGTAGGAATCCAAAATTTTAATTTTAAAAACAAAATCTCTGTTGCATGTGCGTGTGGTTCTGGCATATATTACATATATATTGTACTTCCAGCCCATTTCTACACAATACAGAAACAAACCCAGCTACTTTAGGTTTTTCTGGCATATATTACATATATATTGTACCTCCAGCCCATTACTACACAATACAGAAACAAACACAGCTACTTTAGGTTCCTAATGGCACAATTTGACAGTCAAGCATGAAATCGTTCAGAAGTCTTACCCCTTATTTCAAGACTGGCTGCTTCATTCACTGTGAAAACATGGCCATGGAAAGTGTAGGACACATTTTTGAGACTTTTAAAATTTTAAACATCCTCAAAAATATATACAAAATGTATGTAGAAAATCACGTTATTTGAATGTAATGGAGGTTCCTTATCCCCTAAGTGTCAGGATACACTACCAGACTAGGATCAATCAACTGTTTGCATACAATGTTAATTTGGATGGGAACCAGGCAGGAGCACAGCAAGTAGAGCAATAACCAATAAGTGGCATTGAGGGAGAGGGGGGTCCCATATTCCATCACATATTTTCTGAATTAAGGTACTGTTCATCATAGTGTGTGGGCAAATGCCAAGCATTTAAGAAATAGCAGGGCAATGATACACTCTTTGTCTCATAAAGGTCCGTTGCTCAATAGCTTCTCTAGTGACTAATTATGTATAATATGGAAGATCTAAGTAGCAGTTCTTGAGCAAAGTACACAGGGCCAAATTCAGCCTTCAGGTTCACCAATGTAGCTCCATCACCAAAGGGTTCATAATTATACATATAGGACAATACAAGAATGTCCTAACAAGAATATAATGTCTTCACTAGCATAAGTATTTTTCTTAATATCGCCATCTGGGGAGTGAGATTATAATGAACTAAACACATGGCCCTCTTTGCCATCTCGTTTGGAGTTTGTACAGCAGCACGATTTCATGAGCTTGTTTGCCAGTTTCAAAAGGTCTGATAATTTTCAGCAGTATGTAATGAGATGCATGACAGTGGAAAAGGAGATTCCATGTTTCATTTCATACAGAGACAGATACAACAGTATGCCATGAGCTAGCCTATGGAAAACCTAAATTCTGAAGGTGAAGTGGGTCAGTCCTGCAACTGCTCCTCATGAGAATAGTGCTTACTAATGCTAGGAGTTCCATCCCAATGAGTAAGGATTGGCTGATCTCATCTCTTTTGTGAAATGAAAAAATCAAATGAAAAGTAGTAACGTTAGGGCCCTATGCTGGGACTGTATGTAATCATCTCCTGAATTCTTTTAGATGTTTAAGTGTGATGCAGGATGCTCACTATATAATACCTAGGGACATATTTTTCCATCAGTTTGCTCAGTGACCATCGCTGAATCTTATGAAAAACCCAATAGCAAAATAATGCTTTTCAGAAATATTTAGAAAGCTGCATTAAAACTATGTTTAAATTAGTGTCCCTAAATCTTTATAATTTTTTTTCATGGAAGAAAAACCATAAGGCACATCATAACAACACAGTAATTAAACTCTAAGAGAAGCTAAAATCATCCCGTGAAAGAAATTCCAGACATAGTAATGTTTCTGATCCTAGGATTGACAAGTCACATTTACTGTAAATAATAGGTAATGATTCTATAATTACATATAAAATGTATTGCCTAATTCACATTCATACATAATCTTTAGAAGAAGCCATAATTAAATACTTACATTGTCTTCTGATAACTTATCTATTGTCACCTTGGCTTCTATTAAATGATTATTGAGTGCTATTATTTCATGGCTTAAGGCCCTTTTTTCCTCTTCGTAATGTTGACCCTGCATATAAAAATGGATTGGTCAGTATTTTTTCTACTGTGATATAATTCCTGAAAAATACTCATAGCGTGATGCCATTTTCAAAGTCAGAGAGATGCACAGCATAAACCAAACATGTTCCCTTCAGGCTGCCAGATAAGCTGCTACTTTCACTCCGCACACTAGGCAATCTGCTGTAAAAATGTGAAGGCCAAACTTATTCACAACAACAACAGAAAAATTAGAGAATGGGAGCTAAATTGCAAACGAAAGACCATCTGGATTGATCATCCTCCACTATCCCTAGTTTGCACTAGAGTTTCTAATTGTGGGAGGAGGATCAACCCTGGTTTTTTCTCTAACAAAGTCTGCAAAAAATGTTCCAATCACATTATTTGCTCTCCTCTTCATAAAGTGGGAGGAGCAAATAATCACAGAAAATAACGGGGCCATTTAATTTTGTGGACAGACGAATCAGGCTGTTTGTTTTTAAATTTCATTTCCAAGTAGAACATGCTCTGGAGTAAGAGAAAATATAATATGATTTGAACTTTTTGCTCTACGCTTTCTTTTCTGCCTATGGTCTGATCACATTGCAAGGATAACCATGATGTTTGTAGCAACTTTTTTTTATTGTAAACAAATCAGCACCAAAGGTAAGGAGTTAACTGCCCTTAACCGAACGTGTTGCCTCTTAATACTTCAGCATTTCTTCTGCTACGCAGAATAAAAAGTATTAACTTCATTCTGTAGATGGGGCGCAGAGAGATTGTGATCTGCCCAAAATCACATAGTCTGTGGCAGAGATGGTAACTGGGAACCCAGATCCATCTTTCCTCACAAAAGTCAAAACCCTCTCAAGACAATATGGGTATGTCTTCACTGCACCCAGAATGAGTCTGCCAGCCTGGGTCCACAGACTTGTGTTAATGGGCCTTGTCTAGGGTAGAGAGTACTTTGACATTTAGAGCCCTGTGTGGATCAAAAACTGATATCTGCATCTGCAAAAATGATCCATGGATGTCGGCTATATACCCATGAATATAAAGAGGATACCTGCAATTGTGAAGGGTTCTAGATACAAAATTTGTATCCACATCCGCAAAAATAAGCTGTGGATATAAAGTGGATAACTGCAGATTTGCAGAGCAAATATTGCAGGTTGGGCTCTGAAGCCCATCTTCCCTCCTCCGGACTTCAGAGCTCAAACTCCAGCTGGAGTCACAACATCTACACACCTATTTTTGGCTCCCTTGCGTGAGCCTTGTTAGCACAAGTCTGTGGAACTGGGTAGGAGGCTTGCTAGCAAATGCAATGTAGACAGACCCTAGGGCTGTGTCTACATTGGCATGATTTTGCACAAAAGCGGCTGCTTTTGTGCAAAAGCACATCTCTTGCAGAAAGGCACATGCCAGTGTAGACGCTTTCTTGCGCAAGAAATGAACGTTGCCTGCCTACACTGGCCTCTTGCACAAGAACAGTTGCGCAAGAGGGCGTATCCCTGAGCAGGAGCATCATAGTTCTTGCACAAGAAGCACTGATTTCCTACATTAGAACGTCAGTGTTCTTACGCAAGAACTCCCCACCAGTGTAGACAGGCAGCATGTTTTTGCACAAAAGCATCGTGCCAGTGTAGACGCTTTCTTGCGCAAGAAATGAACGTTGCCTGCCTACACTGGCCTCTTGCACAAGAACAGTTGCGCAAGAGGGCGTATCCCTGAGCAGGAGCATCATAGTTCTTGCACAAGAAGCACTGATTTCCTACATTAGAACGTCAGTGTTCTTACGCAAGAACTCCCCACCAGTGTAGACAGGCAGCATGTTTTTGCACAAAAGCATCGTGCCAGTGTAGACGCTCTCTTGTGCAAACACTTTAACGCAAAAACTCTTGTGTTCAAGGTATTTGTGCAAAATCTTGCCAATGTAGACGTAACCTAGGAGTCTTTTCATTAAGGCTATGTCTAGACTGCAAGCCTCTTTCGAAAGAAGGCGTTCTTCCTCGTGAAATGAGGTTTTCCGCCATCGAAAGAAAAGCCGCATTCTTTCGATTTAATTTCGAAAGAACGCGGCTTGAGTCTGGACGCAGGTGAGGTTTTTTCGAAAAAAGTAGCCTTTTTTCGAAAAACCCCCTGAGTCTGGACACAGCCCAAGTTCAACAGACTGTGAATCAGGCTCTACCTCAGACAAAATGGATTGCAAAGTAAGCTTTGCCTGCATAAAGACTGCTGGGTTAGGCTCTCAGAGCAGTGGGGTAAGAGATCTCAATGACAGCAACTTAGGTCTTTCATTGTGATCCCTTCAGTGTAGCTGACTGAGAGAAAAACACAAGACAAACCTGAAATGTTAGGCTGGGAACACTGCCCCTTCACCAAGATACTGCTCACAGAAGTTATCTAGTAGGATCTTTTTTTGTTAAAAAGCAGCATGGCAAACAAGAGTACTAAGAAAGAGAATCACTGGCCAACTTTTCTGCTTTGATTCCTCACACTAGCCATGGGTCCAGGACCCTGTTTTTTCACTCTAGATTTCTTTTAAAAAGCTGTGAAGGATTTTCTTCCTCCAGCAAACTATATTAGATAGTTAAATTTCCCAAGTACCATGTGTGTCAGTGTGACAGAGTCAGGAAAAGTCTTCTTTTGCTACAGACTCAGCATTGTCTGATAATTGACAGCAATGGGAGTTGGGTGTCCTGAGGGCAGTGAACAAATATCAAGGTTAATTATCTGGTTGTGGAGCAGGAGGCTACAATAAAAAGAGATTATTAAAGCAGAAAGTGGCAAACTTCACATACTAAGCAGCTCTTCAAAGAGAAGCACATTCTAAAATCATCGAAGGGAACTTGGTGCTTGTTTTAAAAAATGTCAGGCTGACTGAAGCTCCCATCATAAGAAAAAGTGGGGGGGGGGGATAGGTCAGGCAATGATTCAAACTCATCTGAAGAAGTGAGTTTTCTCCACAAAAGCACATGATAACATGATTCTATATATGTATTTTTGTTAGTCTCTAAAATGCCACTCATTGTTTTTAAAGTTACAGACTAATACAGCTTCCCCTCTCAGACTGTAGGACAGGCAACGACAGGCTGAGATTCTCCAGCCGGTGTCAGCTTTTTCAGCCTGTCCTGTCATCCTGACCTGGTTCAGGTTCCATGATCATTCTGGCCTTGGCTTGGCCGAGCATACTGCCAGTCTTCTAGTGCCGGTGTTGGTGATAGCTTGTATGTATGTAGTTGAAGAGCCAACCAATAACATTTTCAAATGCTGCTGACTCTTATATTTCAAAAGAGACTGAGGCATGTAGAAACAACAAGGAGTCCTGTGGCACCTTAAGGACTAACTGATTTATTTCAGCATAAGCTTTCGTGGGCTGACAAAGTGGGTCTTTGCCCATGAAAGTTTATGCCCAAATAAATCTGTTAGGGCATGTCTACACTAGGAAATTATTTTGAAGTAACTTATTTATAAATAACAACTCCCAAAATAACTATTTTGAAATAGTGTGTCCACAGGACAGGGAAGCCTCGGAATTAGCCCAAGGGAGGCTTCCTTAATATGGATGCGCTACTTTGACTTAGAGTCCCAGGAAGCACTGGGGAGTAATTTACTTGGAATGACTCTGGGGAGTAGTTATTTCGAATAGCAGCAGTGGAGCATCCACACTAACACTATTTTGAAATGAAATAAGTGTTATTCCTCATAGAAAACTGGAGTTATAATTTTGAAACTAGCCAATTAGCCCATCATAAGACGGGATTTTCAGGTCTTCTCTCCTGAGCACTCTCGTTAGGTATCTCTCTCTCTCTCTCTCTCCCTTCCCCTACTTCCTTCTCCCCTCTTTCTCAGCTCTCCTCCGCCTCCTGCCTCTCTCTCCGTCTCTTTCTTTCTCTTCTCCTCCTCCTCCTGCCTCTCTCTCCCCTCCGACTCTCCTCTTCCCCTTTCTCTTCCCCTTTCCTCCCGGCATGGCGCTTGGCTGAGTGGGGCCTTTTTCTCTTCTCCTCCTCCTGCCTCTCTCTCCCCTCCATCTCTCCCTGCGCCCCTTCCCCTTCCCTCCCACTGTGGCACTTGGCAGAGTGCTGCCTGCTCAGCCGGGCTGCTGCGAGGGAGGGGGGCGGGGTGGTGATGTACACGGCCAGGGGGCTGCTCCACCCCCAGCGCGCATCCCCGACAAAGAGCGGAGAGAGAGTGAGAGGCAGGAGGAGGAGGAGAAGAGAAAGAGAGAGTGAGAGGCAGGAGGGGGAGGAGAAGAGAAAGAGAGAGACGGAGAGAGAGGCAGAAGGTGAAGGAGAGCTGA